AGGAATTCAAATTGGAAATTTCATAAACATACTCGAAAATAGTACAGTTTTTTAAAGAAAAATGTTAGTCGTGTCTAGTAATTTATCATTTAAACAACTAGACTATGATATGTAGCATTCATAACAAGCTTCTTGTCAAGGCCTTGTTTTGGCGTATTATATGTGACAATGTGCTGTTTTCTGAGTGAATATAAGTCCTGGCTGTGCAGTATGTTTGTAACAATTACCCAGCCTAAATGAACACACGTGTTTTGCGTCAATTCGGCCCGTTTTGACTCGTATTTTTGTAAGCCGTGTTGTAATCTGCTAACCGTGTGTGCACGGATCCATTTGACGCCTCATTGGTACCGATTAAAGTCGATTAGGCCGGGCTGATCCCTGTGGTTCATCTGTTAGCCTCATGCCGGGCCCGGTTGATTTATTTACCCAAACTCACGATGTGGACCCCCACCAGCGGTAGAATGTATCTGCATGCATGCGAAGAGTTTAAATTCTTTTGAGTTTTCCCCCATATCGTTTTCACGGTTGGTAGGTTGTAGTGGGTGCACGTGGATCGTTTGATACAAGATTTTTAATATTCATACATGTTACAAGCATCTTGTATATTAGTATTGTCCACTAGGAATATTTCAGGGCCAGTGAAATATTATTAGTCACATTTTCAGCACTGTTTAAGTATGTGTGAATATATGACAGTGTTGTGTTGTGCAAGGACATTATACTTCTGTATGATGTCCTTGGTTTTTGTGTGTACATGTGTGTGGGTGGTGGAGCGAGGGAGGGGGTATATTTTGGTTTGTGCGAGGTTCTTGGTTTGTGGATGTTTACTCCAAGGAGGTCTATACACCATGTGGTCTCATGTCTGTTTCACTAGGACAAAGATTTCCGGCGACAATCACCCATATGATACCAATAACATAAAGTACTACTGTATGATGGCGATTTAAACGTTGACCGTTGCTCTTACTCCGTTTCTGATACTTTCTGACCAATTGGGCATTGTATATATTTGTACCCAAAGAAGACACGGGGGAATCCACGTTAACTCAGTGAGGTTCAATTAAATTCAATGAGATCAAATTTAGCCTGTGCTAGTGAACCCAGGGCTCCCATACCCCCCTCTCACCAACTGATCTAAGAATTATTCTGCAGTTGTTGAAATCCTATGTAATTATTTATCATTTAATTTTTTTCATCCGGTCAATCCCAGCCCTGGGTCTGTGTATTTGTAACTCTTATTATTTTTTTTATGAAGACATGACTACATCAGACAAGCATGACAAAACGAGGGGAATTATTACAATGTAACTTTGGGCATGCCATTACATGTTTGCTGCTTGCTCTACGTGTACCCTGGCACCCTATCTACCCAACCGCAAAACAAATACATAAAAACCCTGAGCTGCTTCGGGCAAGTCCTGACAAGCCACTCATGTGATCTTCATCCGCAAGCCAGACACTTGTCAAAACGTCGACTGATGTGGTTAGGGTGGGGTTTCTGTCATTCGTGGTCATCCACCCACAAAATTCCATATCACATACTTACTGGTCATGTCATGTTTCCGCCTATATTCCCGGGGCTTGTAGTTGTCAGGTCATAATTATGACATCATAAACCTCGTAGATTATTCAATGCATTCATTACGTGTCCCATTAAACTGTTTCTATGATGTTCTCGAACGGCTGTTTATATGACAAGATTCCGGAACAAACGGATCTGTTCTCGAACGAATATCGTTGCCATGGTGGCATTTAGGTAAACAAATAGGTTAGCAAAGTTCACTGGTGGCATTCTCTTGTGACAGTGGTCGGGTGAAAGTTCCATGAACGGTAAGGAATGAAACTGACCATATATTAACATTATATAAAACCTAAAGAGAAGACTCGGACCTAGATTAATGTTTAGACAAATGTTTATAAAATGCAGCATCACAAATCCCGAACTGTTACCGAATTTGGCATATATTGTTTCATGTTGGTTACCTGCCCCCCTCCCCCATTCCTGTTTTCAAATCGTTTACAGTCTGTTCTCCAACAATATCTTGCAACTCATGAAGATTGACAGGCTCTACTGTTCCAAACCAATCCATTAAATCCGATCAGTACGAGCGCTCAATCAGCGTTTTAGCTCAAACATCCCAACAACCGCTCAAAAGACATTGGTCAAGGTCACCTAATTGGTTGTCACGATTTGTGTGCAAGAGGACATTCTTGTCGTTTGTCATTCTACCTTTGACAAAAGATTTTGACCTCGCTGTAATATACAGTTGCGCACATGCGGCATCCGTTCGCCTTCTTTCTTCAATGCTTTAGCTGTCCTTGATACGGCTAAATACCTGACTGAAAGAGAGTCCAAATAGTTTCATTCAAACCTAACAACCCAATCAGGGTTATGAGGATGTCATGCTCTAAAACTCAGGCGACAACATACATGCGATAGTGTCCTCAAGGCCATAGGCTTGTTGCAGATACGTTGCCCTTGGCAACCCGCAGGTGTATAGACAATGGCCGACCTGGTTACCAAGGTATTGACCTAGTCAATCAAGCGGCGTTATACAACAAGGCATTGCGTGGTGGCATTTCTTACCTATTTCAGAAGACGAGGATTGGATTATCTGTACATACTAGTAAAAGTAGAAGAGTAAAAGTAGCCCGTCACATTTGTTGCAACGATGTTTGTAATTTTACGACTGTAAATTGAGAGCATTCTTGGGACTTTTAAACTGTCTTTTGTGGAATAAATTGGCGTAATTTCCGCGGCCGGTCGTTTTCTTCCTAGACATATCATATATCTATCTTGACTAAAAATCCTACCACTTAAAAACACTTGAAGATTATACTACCATAACAAATTTATTGTGCAAAATAATTTGATAGAAACCAATTTAGTCCGCATTACATTTCTTCTGAATGGGGCAAGAATATGGTTATGTACCAGTTGTAGTGTTGTTAACTTGCATATATATTGGCAAACTTGCGCACATATAGACAAATAGTGAAAGGTATGAAATATATGGTAAATTACATTTTTTGGTCTCAAGTTAAGTGTAGTGTGTCTACGTCAGTGATCCCCAGAGAGTTTATAATTCTGATAAAGCTAATTACACTCAGAAATGTGCCAACGCCTGTCGGTATGTTATAAAGGAATAGGTGTGTTAGGATGAAAGACAACATTCCCAAAATGGCGGCACTTTTGACGTATTCTGTTTGTGTTGTAGTCTCGTCAATGACATACGTGCACGTAGAAAGGTGTGATTTTTCCCAACATACATCGATACAAAAACACAGGTTACCATTCCAACTTATTTATTGATTTCTTTCGGGTTTTTACCGTGTTTTGTAGTAAAATCTTGACCATCCTATTTGATTGAATTGCAACCAATTATGCTGTACGACAACACGAACAAAATTGGTGGCTACGCCCTTGAAATTACATAATTACGCCATGACTTTGTCGTTGTAACAATGCCCCTGAAATCCCAAAATTAAACCTGGGCGAGAGAAAATGCAAGGTGCATTTTGATGATTCCATAGATACTTCCGCGCCATGTAATTTGAACAATCGCAGGCAGACATCACAAGAAAGAAAGGCAGCTAATTAGGACTAGTCGTCTCAGTACAACGTATTATTTCTTTGCCTTGATGCATTTAGATGGTTTCCTTTGATGCATTTTGATACATGTAGTTTCCTTTTATGCATTCTAAAACGTAGTTTCCTTTGGTGCCTTTTGATACATGCAGTTTCCTTTAATGCATTTTGATACGTGTACTTTCGTTTAATGCATGTTGATACATGTACTTTACATTGATGCATTTTGATAGTTTCCTTTGATACAGTAAGTTTTCTTCGTGGCTATTCTCGAATCGGACGTAAAATGTGAATCGTTGGTAACAGGTTATTTCTACTGCAATAATATGTTCTGCTGCCAGGAGTCGCCTATGGCGTAACGCTACCGTGCACAGACCGTGGCTTTCCAAGAGTATCCTTACAGAACGGCGGTGACCAACACAGTGTTCAAGAACATGTTAAGAGGCGACATGAAGTGAACACACCTGCCTAGAGTGAACTCGAAACGGGCTCGACTTTCGTGAGCTGTCCCCATATCTTATCCTTCTCATGAGAAATAAAGACCATCGAGAGCTATCTCAAGTGTACCTGAAACATCTAGAAGTACGCGTTTCGCTTCTATTGTGTGGGAAGTTCCGGCGACCGTGGCAAACTGTCGAGTTTTTCCTCTTGTAAACTGGCGGGTCTGTTTATGTACACAACCTGCAAAAATCCATACAGTGGATGAATAGTTTCCCTTTGGCGGTACGAGTATCGGGGAAACCAAGTGTCCTCATCCGCCCGGACTAGCTCCGTTCCCAGCCCCTTGTGTTTGGACGACTATTTTCAGAAAACAAACCATGGACAGATGTCCGGCAATCCACAAAAGAGGAATATATTTTCTCATGCGGGTTGTTGAAACGAATGTTTGGGCGAGGGGACCGCAGATGTTTGAAAATAATGGCGAAGGCATTGAGAGAAAATTATAGCAGAACTTTCACATGTTGTATTTTGGTAAACTAAAAAAGAAGCCAGGAAGACCTAACGATTGTAATGACACAAAAGTTGTACTAGAGTTTGCCGTGATTGCTATTTTTCTAGCCCAATCTGTCCGCGTGTATTTTTTTCTTCAAATTTCACGCCTTCCCTCTCACCGGTAATCAGCCAAGGCCGAACGCATGCTGGCCTCCCGCCGTATATGCAAATTAGGTGTGAACGACAACCCCACCCGGGGCATTATTCGTATCCGACCAATCAGCGACCAGATGCGGTCGTTATCGCCATGTTTGTTGAATGTGTCAATCACAGTAAGCTCCGCCTATAGTGGGTGACCACCAACCAATCAGATGTGGTCATTCTGGATGTCTTTATATATCAACCAATAGGAGCGTAGCAACACAGCTGTGTAGTCATGTGGATGATGTCATTGTGTCTCCGCCCCTAAAAACCCGTCAACAAGTTCGGATTTGAACTGGCTGGAGACAAAAAAAGGGCAGAGTCGACCTGGAGCAGACGGTGTAAAAACTACTACATAGACTCTGGTCCTTGGAAAAAAATCATTTCCACGGGTAAAGCTTGTTGTGCTGCACGCAGGGAGTCGAGAATGAGCACCGCCAGAGTGTCGTGTCCGTCCCCGGAGCTGCGGAGAGCTCGCCCCGCCCGGCCGGTTGGTATGCCTCGGAGCTCGGCTTGCAGGCGACTCTTCGGCCCGGTGGATCATGAGGAGCTTGAGAGGGATCTGCGGTCGAAAATTGCCGCGATTCATGAAGAGTCCAGGCAAAAATATAACTTTGACTTTGAAGCCGAGCGTCCCCTGGACGGCAGATTCGAGTGGGAGAGAGTTAGCGACGCGCCGTCGTTCTACATCGGCCGCGTCAACATCTCGGTTTCTGCAGCTCCTACGGCCGCCGAGTCGCACACCCCCGGGCAGCTGGCCTGCACCGCCGCGCGGTCTACTACGGAAGGTTCCCCGGGAACGGAACGAGAAGCGGCCACGGGAACTGTTGCAACGAACTCTGTGTGTGTTGGAGAACACGGGGAATCGAGAGTAGACGCGAGAGTAGAGGATTTGGGTGCAGAAATCAGCTCGACTGACTCCGCTGGTTCGGAGACACAAGGCTCGGCCGCCCCGGGGAATACACCCGACTCAACCCCGACCATGTCCCGAGGTGTCAAGCGTCAAACAAGACTAACAGGTAAGATTCACCACCAACCCTACTATATTCTACCCGAACTTGGTCTTTGGACGGTTTGTAACGATTTGGCCGCTTGTACGGCACGTGTAGGTGCCATTTTTTGCGAGGTTTGGAAAATTTTTTGGCGTGTTACTACGCAGTGAGTAGTGTGTAAGGTACTGTAAACAAGCTCGGGGAGGGTGGATGACCTCCGCCCTATTGTTGAGCTCATCTCCAAGCAGATGTTTGGGTGGTTCCGTCCTTACGCGTTTCAAATTCAGTTCCTTTTGCTTTATTGCACTATTTCTGAAAAGTGAAGGAACAAGGGTGTGGGTAAGAAGAAAATGTACAAAATACCGCAAGAAGTAGCCAGTAAAGCAAGTCAGTGCAAGTACATTTACTTGAGATTTTTATCTGGACGTGTTGGGGCATGTTGCTCCGAGGAACCCGCCCCCGGGCGCACTTCAAGCGCATCAAGGCGCGGAGAAATCTCCCTCAGCTCAGCGATTTCTTCGCGCCTTGCTTACGCCTGAAGGCTGTTCGCTCAAGGTCGAGGCAAGGTTTTATCGTAAACAAGTTCACTAGGGTGAAAAGAAAAAGAAAGATACGCTAGGGGAACCGGCGCGTTGTCTGTCTGCATGTCGTTTCCAAGACTCTGTTGTCATGACAAAGTTGTAATTTATCTCAAACGCTAAGCCATAATTGGACGGAAGGCAGAAATTGTAACAACGTGGCCTTATATTTGAGTCTGTATGTTGAACTTTTTTTACGTTTCCTTCGACAGATTTCCATTCCCAAAGGAAGAGGGCGAAAAGAAGGCAGCAGCAGGCAGTGGCTAGCAAGGAAAACAAGCAGCACTCAAGATCGGAAACGCTCCCAGCACATCCATGGATCCAGCCGTAGTTTGTAGAAGGTGAGCCAGACGTTTTGTCTTCTTGATGAAAGTAAAATAGCTTATTGTTGAGATGATTAACAGTTCTACGCACGGCTTCCGCACTTACACTTTCGTCTTTAAACAAAGAAAAACGTGATAGATTCAGAACAAAGAAAAACTCTAAATCAGAAAAACAATTTGGAGGTTTCTCTGCTTCTTTTTGATTAACTGGCGTGGGGGAAGCTATTGTTGTCAACACGGCGATAAATTCTGGTCGTAAGGGGGGCGCTAGGCGCCTGTCTTGTCAAAACTAACGCGGGCTAGCTGATACCGTCTCTGTGTTTTCGTCAGAAGGCAATATTTGTGTGTTAGACCGCCGTGTGTGACTCTTGTCTTCAACAAAGACTTGGCAAATGAAACTTGAAGCCATTTGAGTACTGAGGATGGACAAATATGGTGTTAGGCTCAGAAGCTCTGTCAGCAAAATGTCAAATTAAAAAGAAGTCTCCAATATCGTCACTTGTGGGCCAGGGTAGTCGAGGGACAAATAAGGCGGTGTTGGGCGACCGTTTTATCGGGAGACACCGCAGGGAGCCCCGCCGGCCTTGAGGGCGACGCGGCCCGCCCTGGGACCTTCTTTGGCCCGACCCTTGATATAGTACAGGTGATGGCCCCTGATAAGCATGGACGGGAAACTGACCGGTGTTTGGATTTGTCTGTGGTCAAAACTGACCATGTGGAAATGTCAGGAAATCAGACAACAACACAAGATCGCCTTCTGGACTATATTTTTCTCCAGAGACAAAACAGTCTTCCTCAAAAACTTTACGCACACGTTTGAAAGGTCGCGAAAACAGTATTATCTCCCCGTTAAAAATAAATGAGGAGCCAAATCGAGCCAGTTAAGTGGTGACAGGAAGATAAATGAAATGTCAAGTTCTCTGGTACTGACCAACGTACTTCAGTTGAAACAGGACAGGCCTCAAAACCGGCGCCACTCTGGCTCCAATGCGTAGGGAGAGAAAGCAGGTAGCCTGGTACTTCACACTGCCACCCTGTCACAGCTTCGTCTCTTTACCAGAAATGAGCCAGGAAATATTTCGGCCTCACAAAAATGAAATAAACGTTATTCCCAAACTTGAAAACGCTGTGCATGTGTCCCAGGAATTTTCACGTTTATTTTAGAAAGTGACCGGTTGTAATATCGTTATTTTGGCTTCACTAAAATGAAAAAGAAAACGTTATTCCCATATTTGAAAATGCTGCGTCCCAGGAATTTTCACATTTGTTTTAGAAAATCATCAAAATGCCCGATGGTAATATCGTTTGTCCTTATTGGGAATTCCCTGATGTGTACGTCAGTGTGTTTGACAAGTGGAAAAAAACAGCTGAAAGTCAGACGACATATTGTGTGTGCACCTGTGCAAGAGAGCGGGACCCTGTTACCATGGTAACCTTTCAGGGGACTCACCCCTGGGACACCCGCACGCTGTCAGCTGTTCACCCAGGAAAGCGCTTTGTAACGTCCCGTGGGACCACGCGAACGCTTTGTGGCGTTCCAGTTTCACACAGAAGTAGCGTCCATTCTTTTTTGACACACAACATGAGGGGTGTGCGTTTTTGAGAAAAAAAGACAATCTACCTAGACATGTCTGACCAAAAGAAGAAAATTTGCATTCCTCCTCGACAAGTCATTTTTAGGAAACAGTTTTTACAGAAAATTGTCCTTTATTTCTTCTAAATGGCTTTACCAAGCGAACGTACCGATCCCCAAAGTAGTATTTTGCATCGAAACCCCTGAGGAATATGCCATAATGATGATGAAATTAATATCTCTACAAGCTAATCCCTAGGCTAGCTTGTTTGTTTATTTAGCGAGGAGTACACAACATCTGTACTGAATCTGCGGCCCAGCTGTCCCAGACCTTGTTTACTCTCAAACCCCGTCACTTGTCTGACCAGTACAGACACACGCGCCCCTGGCTTGGCTAGGAAAACCGACCAGAAAATTAACGACTTCTTAAATTAAACAGAACCGTCAATTATCATGATCTGGGCGAGATCTGAAAACTGAAAATACCTCCAGGCATTTTGAACAAGATCAGTCGAACAACTATGCCCAGTAGTCAGTACTTTTGCTGTTCTTTGGAATCGATTTTGTAAGATTGTAAGCATTGTTTGTGTATTACGTTGTTGAAAATGTGTATTTTGTTGATACTTGCTTCAATGTGAGTGACTAAACCCTTATTTTCTTCCTTCACAGACTACACAAGACTCAAGAGAGGAGAGTTTGCCAAGTGGAATCATCGAATCTTGTTGCTGTAGATGTCAGAAACCAGCCTTATCCAGTCCTGTTTGCGTCTGACATACAATGGAAGACTCAGAGACACTTCTTTTTGTTCTTGAAAAAAGCTAGGCACCAGTATGGTGTAACCAAGGAGGTTATATTGGTGTAAACCAGGCACAAACTAGCTGTAGATTTCTTACACTTGAATCATGCATAATCAATCCATTTATGCAAATCTTCTGTGCATATTTGATGAGGGAATGTTGCGACGCCTTGTTAGAGTGTAAAAAAGTGAATGTGCAAATATCTTTTCGATAATTATGGCTGTGTGAATTCACCCCTAGTGGGTTGTAAGTTACTTGTGTCAAAACTGTGTCAACAATCAATACTAGGATAACACGATCTACACACAGCGTGTTAATGTTTATGTTTGTTTCATGTACATAGAAGGGGAAAGTATGGTGAGTGCGTTTGCACAGGCCAGCCCCAAATACTGCCAAATCTATTTGCTTTATTTTACATAATTCGAAACTATGTAAAAATGCACAAGCATGCACAATGCATTTTCTCTGTGTCTCGGTACTGTGTAGTATTTATATAGAACTCCTTACCAAGAGTAAGTTGAACATCAATGTATATACAAATTTCATCAAAGAATTTTGTAGTGCTATGTATATATTTTTGTTAGGAATGACAATGCCTACATTGTATAGAGACCAAACACTGTGGACAGAAAAATAAAAATCATCTTCGCTGAATCGAACTTTACTTTCTCTGTCTTGATAATTTTTTATTCTTTTGTGGACAACATTGTGGAGAGTTAATTGCTTGAAAAGAACTTGAATAGTGCATTTGACAAGTCAACATAGCCAGGCCAAAAGTAGTGCTACAGGAAGAAATATGACTTAAATAACTTAAGGAAAGTTTACGTTGAGGAACGGGGGTGGTGGGGGGCAAAAGAGTAGCCTCTACTGGGCTTCACAAGCAATAAAATGTAGTCCTTCAGCGAACCAACTCCACTCTTTCTACGTCGATTTAACTTAGACATCCAGGTAATACGATAAATCCAAAATCATATCCAGTTGCTTGAGTAACTGTTTTTTGGCGTATTCTACTCTTTCTAGCTGTTTCTGAAGTCTGGTAGAGACTACCCAAATACATCTAAATGTATATTCAAAAGTCCTAAGCTTTCGTGTAGCTCGTAGCTACACGCAAAGTACTAGCCAACTCTACATAGTACATAAACGTTGGAAGTCTGCCAGTTGAGGATAAATACAATCTTTCCGCTACGCTCTCCTTCAGTAAACTAAAGACGTCATGGGTAGATTTTACAGCGACTGGTTGGTAACTTGTCACCCTTCCCCAGTGTTGTGGAGTTCCTTACAAGTTTATCTTCTCCGCCTATTGACACTCTCTCCTCATGGTCTACTGACGGCGAAACAGGCGCCCCCCTAATGGCGTTATCTCTTGAACCAATCAGGGAAAATGGCAGCAGCTCATTTGCATGAGCTGGAGACGCGGTCTGACCAGTCAGAAAACAAGACCCGGAGAAATTCCAGCGGAAAAATGGGAGAACATTTGGAGCGAGACAATCTACGCCACGCTTGATCTGCACTCAGGATACGGCGAAATTCCACGGAATCCTCATCACAAAGCTGACCAAACGTAACGTTTCCGTTTCTTTGGCACAAGAACTTACAAAAAAGGGAGTAGTTGAGAGTTTTCTGTGACACAATCCCGAGTTACAAGAGCTGAAAGCAGTCAAGCAAGCACACACGGTGATGACAGACGAGCTGTCAAAAAAACCAATTAAACCATCCTGTCAATTTTTTTGTTTATCGAAGGGTCACGATGAAATCCCGCCACAATTCCCAGCTGGGGGGAAACCAAACACGGCTCGCGCGCCCGATGTTGATCCAGACAGTGACGACATGTTGGGAAGTTTATATCGCCTCCATGGCGTCCGAAAGAGGCAGCCAAACAGACGCTCTGGTTGATAAACAGCCGCTGCTGAATGAAAATTCCACCCAAACATGTCAGCTGACAGTCATCAGGTATAAGTATCTTAACTCTTCGCCTTTGTCCGGTAAAACACCAGCAAATAGCAAGGACCTTGCACTACTAATGAGGAGATATGGGGCCTTGCATGAATGGTGTTATTTACGTGCCTTGCAGACGATATTTACGAATGTCTTCTAGTGGTAAAACACCATCTAATGGCAATCATGAGGAGATATGGGGCCTTGCCGAGACGGCTTTGTTTATGTGCCTTTCAGACGATCTTTACTACGGATGTCTCCTGGTTTTTAAGGATCGTCTGAGGAGCGACAAGTGACAGCTCAGATACGCGCAATTAGTCAGAACAGAACACCAAATACAAAACAGACGAGATGCCACTGATGACTGGTCGATGATGGTGGTATAAAGTATAAACCTCATTATCATGACGTTACCGTATCTTTGAAGAACTTTGAGAAATGACGTGGTCGTCTCGGCAACAAATTAAATAAGCCAACAGCAAAACTTAATTGAGGTATTAGCCAACAATCATATGGTTTCATTTCGCCTATGAGTTTGAAGTTTGAACCCACTACACAATCTAAATCTAGTTCCTTTTCCAACTATGATGAAAGGTTTGTACATGTATGTGGAAAGAGTCTTTACCTGATGTGATATTTCACAATGAATGGCGCCTGTTTTACTAATGGTGTTCTTCTTTCAAATTCTGACAAGTTCTCTAGACATAGCTTGTTTTTTACACGCAGCATTATGGCTTCATCAACTTACTATAAAAAGAACGTGAAACGAAAAAAATGTTTCAGAATTGCCACCAGCAAACGTAATTATTTTACGAGGCACAATTTTCAGTCACCAGGAAGAGAAATGCATGCGAGGTCTAGTGCACTGTTAACAAGGCTAAGCGAGCCACGTTTTTGTTCCGAACAATTCACGGAACGCGGTACCGTACGCCTGGTGTATTTTTCCTCCGATTTCTTTTCACGATTTTCAATCACCTGGGTGTGTGAGGCGGTGGGGAGCGGGTGGTGGGTGGAGCCAGGCCCGGGCCGCACGTGCCAAAAGCACGTCTGTATACCCACGGTGTAATCCTATACAGCGGCGCTATTTGCTCGAGCGCTGATGGAAAACACGCGTTTCTAAGTAACGTACGCCAGCTGAAGGCTCTAGGTTTGGCGATGGAGGCTTCAGGATTTGTGGGTTTGACCTCTGCCGGGTCCTGGTAAATATACGTCCCCACTACTCTATTTCGCGAGGGACGCGTGCGTGTGTGTGTGAAATGTTACTCTAAGCAGAGACATTGTACAAGTATAATGTCCTTGCTCTGAGGGAGAACAGTGTGCATGTGATGTAACAACACACTCCAGGCACGTGTAAGGGTGGGTGGGTTTCAGGTATTCAGTTTTTTTAATGGAATAGTCGCCTCTATTGTGGAGAAGTAGAAAGAAGTCGAGAGTGTGCTCTTAAACGTCCTTGGCAAGATATAGCGTTACAAATTACATCAGAGTAGTTATACATCTGTTGAACGGATTATTGAAGACCTTGATGAATCATATATTAGTACATGCAAATTATTTTAAGGAATATGCAAATTATTGGTAGCGGCAAATCAACCAACTGTCACCAGCTTTTCAAGATGGACTCCAGGCCAGGCTACCGCTTGTTGTCTATCACTCGCTGGCTATGACGTCATGGCGATTGCTGGAAGATATATCATTATATGACAAAATGTACCCTCTGGCCGGCTAACTTCCTTGGTATACGGGTAATTCCCTTTATTTTGGTCAATTTCTACTATTTTTCCAGCGATTCGCGGTGCCTAGTAGAGTCTGGAAAACACCGTCCGTGATTAAAAACACACCAACTACCTGTCAGAGGAGCCTCACGCTCTGGTCCTGCTACCTCCCGCGCGGGGCACGGAACCTGATAAATTCTCGGCCCTAATGACTTACCGATGTTTATTTCAGCAGCGTCCTAGAGAAATAAGCAAAGGCAGCTCGGCACGGGGCGGAGGTAAACCTGGGCTCGGCTTCATATGGGCTGCAGAAGACGGACAGATGCCCGGTTCATAAACACAGGGGGCTTGCTGTTGTTTTTGTGTGAAAACTGACATCTGCCGATGATCTGGTGACTCTAGAGCTTCAAACCCTTAATAATAATCTCCAAGCAGATCCTAGGGTGGGAAAAGACAGTATCAAATTGGCCAGGCAGTATCCATTCGCCAGAGAGGGTCCATATGGCTCTCTAGCGAATGGATACTGTCTTTTGTCACCCTAGGATCTGCTTGGAGATTACTTGGATCAACGACTTGACTGAGGAGAGCAGTCACTTAAGAACATAAAATGGAAGAAACATCCTTTCGTTTCTGTTCTTGACTATCAATGTCATTAAAATTTGTGACCTAAGGTCCTAAAGCAACACTGATATCTTCAGGCAACGTGGGTTGGGGCGGAGACAAAACTTTTTTGTTCACCCAGACGTATATTTTCAATGAAATAAAATTTACAGTGATATATTTACGTCTTTCTGCTGACACACACGTACCAGAAGGCCTACAGCGATGACTGTTTCTTCTCTGGGTGAAATTGCTAGCATCTGTCAAATCATATCTTAGCTGGACCAAAGGCCCCCTCCCGGTGTCATCCCACAAAAGACACGGTCGCATCCTTGGTGCGAAAGAATACATAAGGAGCATTCAGCCGAACAAAACTCCTTGGTGAGGGCGACACAAGCTGTCACTCTCCTAAACAGGGTTTCTCGATCCCTTTGTCCGCCCTTTTTGTTCTCCTTTAGAAGAGAGGTGGATACAAACACAAGTGTCACACCAGGGCGAGCCATCTGCCGGGTGCGGATGACCGCTACTGATGTCCGAGTGTCCGACGGAACAAAGACCTCGGCGCGCGACTTCTAATCAGATTTTTTTTCATCGGTGTTCAGGGGGAAAAAGAAGCCCCAAGGGAGGTGATTATCAAGGGACCCCCTTTACTATTATGCTAATTGAACCCCCTTTTTTTGTTCTTGTCGTTTGAGTTCATTGTAGCTGGCACGCTGATATCAGCACTAAAATTTTTCCTGATTTGTGTGTGTGTGTGTGTGTGGGGTGGGGGGGGTGATAAAGGCTTATGAACGGAATGATAAACTGTCAAACATGGAACGTTCATGAAATGTTATCAGTGTGTTTTACGTTTACTCAAACAAAAGACAAACTGGGGTTTCTTTTCGCCTTCAAGTTACTATTTCAAATATTTGAACTGTTGTTTGCATTCGCTGATTGGCCCGCGCCTCTTGTCCGTTATTTGGACACCTGCTTCGGGACCGGGCTGGCGTAAAATACGAACTGATTTTGAAATGGATTCTTTTCAATCTATATCGTCCTTGTTTCAACAAACGGTGTTCTTTACACATACTTTATTTCCCTCTACGGCATTGTACACTGATGAAACAAGTGGTATGCTTCAGCGGGATCTTTTTTTCATTCTTTTATGGTGACAGAGTTCGATGTACTCATCATAAGAAATGGAACAAGGAACACCTAAAGGCTAAAGGTTTCATAACATAAACATCCGGACGTTCTAGCTGCCGTTTGGAGGCGTCCGTGGCTAGCCTGGGTGCCAGGCTGCTTCCAGGATCTACAATAGGACAGTTCCTGGACTCTAGCACAGGCCAAAAATGCCCTGTCAGTTCTCAACCTAGCGTGTTATGGGCCTGGTATCCAGGCTATCGGAAGCGTGCCGGTCACACGCCCGACCAAG